GTCATGAAAATAAAATTGTGTAGAGACCATAGAGTAATTTCTAATTTGATGAGGGGCCAAATTGAAAATACTAAAACTTAAGTAATTAACCTAATTCTGGTTATTTAAAGGGTCATGGTCCCCTTCTGGGAGTACAGACACAGAACGTAAGTTTCAGTCCCGTTCTTTTCTTTCTATCCCCATCAAGAAAGAAAATCCAAAGGAAAAATACAGGTGCTCTCCAGGTGGAAGACCATAAGATCAATAGTGTTCTACAAAGGATATCATCATTATGGCTAATTCAGGTACGCTTTCGCATTCAGTTTACAACATATTTATGAGTATGAGATTATATTTATGTTTGATAGTTAAAATCAAAATCAAGATCATAACAGTAAATTACTAATTCACTAACAAATCGATCATGTGTACACTAATAATCGATTCTCACTAACCTAAAACTCCGGTACTATCAATCACTTACAGCCATCAAGCATACCACACACAATCAAACTTTTACCACTAAGACTCATCCTCACACACAAACAACAAAGTTATACTATGATCACCTTTTCTCACCACTTATTTAATGACAAATTCAAGGTTGAGCAAAATCATTGTAAAACAAATATTTAATGTAGTTTGTATGTGATTGATTAAACGTATATACAACTATTTTCTGTTATGCACATTTAAGTGAATCAATTTGCTATTAGCAATTATTTTGGGACGTCAAATACAATGATTCACATGAGACAAGGGATCGAAATAAGAATATAGGTGTTATGTTTTTTTTTTTTCTCCTCTTTACAGCGAAAACACTTCATTGATTTTTTTTTCCCTCAAATTCACTCTTACAAATCTTCTCAAATTGACAAATTCAAAAATAATTCATCATCGCTTTTCTTTCTCCCTGTAATCAGGATATTAGCGAATCCAAACACAAGATACGAATGAAATATTATAGGATTTCATATTTGTATATCTATCTTCCGTCATTTGTTTATGTGAGAAATGATTCACTAGATTATTTGTAATCCACGAAAAAAATTATAATTATAATTTGTGTATTTATCTTTGAGTATTTGCAATCATAACTAATTTATAATATATTGCATATTATAAAATAATGTGATTAAGAAACATAAACTAACTTAACTTCTTGGTAGTTAAGTTTATTCATAAAACTAAACACCTGTATGACTTGTAAAGGAGTTACAACTTTCCTCTCATGTATGTAAGTGACATTTTCGGGGTTGTTCTTCTCTACTTCTAGTTTCTTGATTTCTTTGAACTTTTTAGGAAGCTTTTAGAACATGTATTCTCATCTTAAAAAGACTATTTGATGGTACATTACAAACTTGAAGTGAATAAGGATTAGAGTTTGTTTGTGAGATTTAAGTGCTTTCCTAGATTGATACCGTTATCCTATGTTTTTTTATCTTGCAGCATATTTTATTTTCAATTTTCATATTGTTATTGTTTTCCTTTACTTGCTCAAGGCCTGTCCATAGTGTTCTAAATGGAGTTACTTGATTTAAATCCTTCTAATAGTTCGTAGATCTTTCAAGTCCTAAGAAGACCTCATAATTTTCAATAGTAACTATCATATGCCATAAAGTGAGAAATAAACATACAATAATAGAAGAATAATGTAACATAAAACACACAAAATAAGAGAGTTAATAAAAAAACTCATGCAATAGTTAGATAACAATCATAGAGACTTGCATAGTTCTATTTTATCAATGTATAGATGCATCACTATTATAAAAGAAATTAAAGTATACATAAAATATTAGTTAGTTAGCTATATCCTAATTAACTCAACAAAACAAAAAATTTTGCTAGTTACTCTACCTATTCATATTCTCATATTTATTTTATTGTTCAAATCGAAATATTCCTTCAAATTAATTCTCTTGAATACATATTATTATTATTATTATTATTATTATTATTATTATTATTATAATAATAATATATGATATAATACGAATATTTTTTTAAATATTCATTATCACATTAAAAAATACAATCATTAATATTAAACCGGTATTATTTATCACTCAAAATAATATTAATAAGAAATTTATTAATTAGATTATTATATTCTATACATTTTTCTTTATTATAATTTGTATATTTATATACTAATTTAAGTATCAAAATATCGAATTTTCTTGACTTCGTAAATTTATGTCCAATTATAATAATGATTATAACATATTTATCCATCATAAATCAGGCGAGGTAATTTTGCACCCTAATTTCAACCCATTTATGTACAAAAACATGAATTTGCAATCTTCATGTGCAACTGTCTATCAATTAATTATAGAAGATAATCAATTTTTACTTTTCAATCACGTCTTAGAAGAAGAGTATTCTCACTTTTATACTCTGCTAACTGTTATATGAAACACAGAAATTTTGGAGGAATGAAGAAAGAAAGAAAAATATATTGAAAAGTGAAGTTAGTTTAATTTAATAGAAAGAAAGTAAAAATATATGAAAAGTTTATAGGGTTATGTAATTGATATAATTGAAATGAAGCAAAATTATTGGTGTAATATCTAAATTACCCTTAGGTAATTTTGTTAAGAATATAATTATTTTATGAAAAAATTAATAAAGAAAATTAAAAGGTAATTAAAAAAATAAAAAAATATAAGTATTATATTTCAATCTTAATAGAAAAGAAGAAACTTTATGTTATTTAAAATATTTAATTAAAAGTATTTAAAAAAATATTAATGCACAACTTATTTGCAAAAAAGCATATAATATTTTAACAATTGTGGACTAAAAAAAATGAGAAAAATTAATTTTGCTTATAATAAACGTATTAAAGGTGGAGAATGAAAAAGGTATTTGATAAAATAATTTTTTCATGGGTAAAATGGTAATTTGCAATTTTTTTTATGTTGGCTTTCTTAACCTTTCACTCTTATGCACGTATTATTTTTATTTGTTACACACTTATATTTTTATATATTTTTATCCAGTTCTTATTTGTTATTAAGAATAGTGTTTGTTATCATGAAAAAGAAGGTTGACAAGGAAATTAACTTCTTCTAGTTAGGGATGTAATAATTTAGATTCAACTTCACCGTTGAAGAAGCTTGGAATACCAATTTGCCAAATATTGTTCACCTCTATCTACTGTATTTAATAAGAGTAGCTCATGAATTATTTCTCCTCGTAAAAACTATAAACTTATCGTGTTACATAATAATTAAATAACTTACAATTAATTTTATTCTAATATTTTTATTTCAGAAACCTTAATTTTTTTTCTTCATTTGTGTGAGGTTCATGGTGAACCAACTAACCATTTTTTTTTAACAACTTCCTATATCACTTACGAGTTTTCAAATTAACTTGTAACAACTAATATAAAGGAAATTATTGGATATGCTCTAATGATTTTATTTGAACAAAACCCAATCAAATTTTCCTACCTTCCTTTATTTGAATCGGGGAACAGTTCTTTGATTAATTTTGATTGATTACATGATTTTCTCTATTATTATTTTTTTCAATTTGATTCCATTTATTTTAGTATTAATTTGGTTTCACTTTTTCTAAATAAAGTAATATTTATTAAATTAATATTTATTTTTCATCAAGACGATTAAGTTTATTATTAATCATATTTATTGACATAACATTGAGATACAATATTATACATCTATATTAAGGGGATTTATTATTATTATTATAAAAAGTTGTTTAGTCATTTTGTTTGTTAAACATGAGAAATAAAAGTTAAAGAAAAAATTATTCTGGGTTATTGACACAAAATATATCGTATAATAATTATAATTTGTAATAGAAGTACATATTATATTGACAATATTTATGCATTTTCTTCTTTGTTGAAGGGTTATATTGAAAGAAATTAATCATATTTAAATAATTTGTGCTCAAAAAGAACTTATCTTATTCAAGATTCAACATAAATGGCACTGACTATCAAATTCAAAAAAAAAAAAAAAAAAAAAAAAAAAGAAGAAGACAGATTATGAATAACATGATAAGAAACAGCCCCTTAAAACAAAGTAAAAGTCGCACAGGAGAAGATGCTAGGCCCCCTACCCGATTTATGGTACAATTTTTTTGTATGGAATTCCTGCACGCACCCAGTACAGGGAAACGGTGGGAAATGAAGAAGGAAAGAAATTAGTAGGAAAATATCTCTCTTGTTTTCCAGAAGAAAAGAAGTGCGGATAAATATATTTTTGGATCTCAAAACCTTCATTTCAATTAAACCATCTACCAGAGTCACTACCTGTCAACGTTGACATAGATCATAATTGCATATCAGATTTGCTTCCATAGTATTCTCAGCGGTAGGAATCATAAAACTTACAAGCTAGGTCACTCATTCTGTTCACGAGTGCTGAATACATTGACATAAAATGCCTAGCATTGTCTCAGCAGTGAAGCATTTTAGATGCAGAGTACATGATAGGTAGGAGATGAAAGAAGCCTCAATCAGGCAAATAAATTAAAAGCATGCTCCCAAAAAAATGCTAGATCTCCATATGACTATAGATGAATCATATGACCTTAGCCATAAATGAAAATGAAGATTACCACATATCACCTCTTATCACTTGATATCTCCCATATAATCCTTATTTTAGCACATCAGATTCATACAGTCTAAATTGGATGCTGAGCAATGTACAAGAAAGGAACATTCATAATGAATAAGAGGATATAATTAAGAATATCACCTTGTTTCCCCAGACTTGGTAAATGGAGATTAATGTCTGAAAACATTTGGGAGAAGATTGCTTCAAATGCAACCTTTGAACAATTAACAAGGCATTACAATGAAGTCAAATTCCATGATGTAAAGTAACACCTAACACTGCTATATAAGAGGCACTGTACACATAAAGAGAAAATATAGAAATAAAAGCATAAAAACCAATTAATTGTCCCGAAGAGAGCAGATCGAAGAGATTGCAATTGCGTATGTGGTTCTTTGAGGTGGTTTTTGGCAAGAATCAAGTTTTTCCAAATCCCAGAGTGAGCTCCAAATCATCCACTCCCACCTCGTGTATTCTCTCACCCTCCCAAGGCTTCACTCTACCATTCTCGAAGTCAAAATCGGACACTCCTCTGCCCATCTCCGCAACCGAATCCCACTGCACGCCCTCCTGGACAGCGATCTGCTGCATCGCGGGTTTCATGAGGTTGAAGGTAGGGGAAGGAGGACCCGCCGCGGTCTGAACCTGAAAGCTGACCCATCGGCCGGAGGCTGAGTCGACGGTGGAAGCGTCAGACTCGTCGCACTCCGGGATGGTGGAAGTGGCGAAGTGGTGGCGGCGCGTGGGACTTGAGGGAGCGGAAGTGGCGAAAAGAGGGTGGCGGAAGGAGGCGTTGGAGAGGGAATCGAAGTCCGCCTTGCGCTTGGAGGTTCGGGGGGAGGAAAGCGGTGGGGTGACGGGGGCACTGTTGGATATCCTGAGAGGGGGAAGGTTGGCTGGGATTGAAGTTATGTTGCGGATGAATGGGATGAGAAAGGAAGAGGGGTTTGCATCAATGCGAGTGGGGCTGGGGAAGGAGGAGGAGGTTGGACTTGCGTGGTAAGAAGCCACGGGACTCGGGAATGACGAGGATTGTGGACTTGGCTGAAGGGAAGAACACGCGCTTATGTTGGGTGGAGTGCCTCCAATCTCACTTGCGGAGGGTCTCTTGCATCCCTGTGTGAAGAAAAATAGTAACAATTAATTATTGAGGAGAAAGAGTGAGCGTAGATCTGACCTCGTGAGAGAGGACTGAGGGACAGGTTTTACCTTCCGATAGGTAGTGCCGTCTTCCTCCACGATCCAACCAGCTTCTGCACAGAGAGCCTTGAGGACTTCGTTGTTGTCGCAGTGCTTGGGAAGCTTGTAGTTCCCCTGAGCTCGAAGCCCTGAGTAGATCTTTGCAGCAATCGCCCTCCGTCTTCTCTCTCTCCTCTTGTTGTTCTCCCTCTCCTTCCACGTCGGCATCCTCCCCGTCGATCCGCCGCCGGTCATCGTTCCTGCCGAGCCAAGCCTGCTCCGCTTCCTCTTTCCGCGGCACAACAAGCAGGCGGTTTGTGTGTGTGCACGCGAGCAAAACCTAAGCGAGGGTGATTCAAGTTTCTTTGTGCTACTGCAGATGAAGAAGGCGAAACAGAAAAGTTGCTTCCTTTTTAGATTCTTCTCACCCCTCTCTTCTTTTCTTTTCTCTTCTCTCTCCCACCCCTTTCACACAGCCGTAGTTTTCACTTCATTAATTCTTCATTTTCCTTTTCTTTTTTATTAAAAAAAGTTTTATTTTTTATAATAAAAGAAAGCAGGAGAACAGGAGACACGGACCCCAGCGAAGTGGATCAAGATAAACAAATTCTAATTTTAGTATTTCATGAAAAGTAACCATACAAAAGTAAACATAGCAAATTTATTGGAATTTTTAATATTTTTATTTTAATGATTAAGAACATTGTTAAAAAAATTGATTGGAATAAGTCATAATTTTTTTTAATATTTACTTTTAGACGGAAATTATGTAAACATATAGATAATTTGAACTACACAAGTAATATTTTTGAATTCATTAGTCTGAGTTAATTTATAACATAAACTAAGAAAGACATACACAAGATACTAAATTACATTTTAATAAGAGAGAAATATAATTATTATAAATAATAGGATGTGATAAAAATAATAACTACAAGTCTAGACAAATGATAAAAAGTTAATGACAAGTAAATGATATAAACAATTAATTGGAACGCGGGGAGTGGGCAACTGCAACTAAATTTAGAAAAATCAATCATTTAATTAACTAGTGAGCATTTAAAAGATATTTGAGTTGAGATTCAATTAATTTTGATTTGATATGGTGTGTTGAAGAGTAGTGGGAGCAGTAGGCGTGGAAAATGAACTTTGTTGAAATAGGAAATATACCATTGATGACCTAACATATCATCCCCTCATGGAAACCACGTGACCTGTTGGTTAACAATTAGCATGCTTACAGTATAGCGCTGTGGCTCAATCACGGATACCACAGTCCAATTCTGCGGCGAGGACTTGCCCACATGACTCATACCAAATACAGGGGGCCCTCCCTACACCTAACGGTGAGGTGCCCTATACCCTAGGTCTGCCACCAAAACATGACCATTCACACCACAATAAATATAATTATCCAAGAGATGTATGGGAGAATATGTTGCAGACATTAATGTCAGTTAAAAAATATATACTGACGGAAGGAATCAAAATATACACACAAAACTGACAGGGATTTCTTATGATTTGCGAGTCTGGGTATCATGTAAACCTTGTTTGTTCTGCTTTTTGTCACGTTGATTTGGTAAGAAACCCAGCCAAAAAAAATTGGTTGTACAAATTCCAGTGGTGTAGTTCGTAACAAGACGGGTCAAAGTAACGTTGCAGCCCACATGCAAATAAATTCATCGTGAGAAGAAACGGAGATAAACCTGCACATTGGAACCGCCCCAAAATGGGACCCATATACATATAAGCATCTCCATCATTGTCTACTAGTTTCAATTAATATGGGAAAACCCAGAGGAAGCGCACGGTGGCTGAACATTTTTATATTCTTTTAGTTAATACTCAATGATAAAAATATTTATGACCATACGGAACAAGCATAAATTTGAATTTAGGATAAATATAAAATGATCACACGTGAAACGAAAATGGAACACGTAAATACCTATTCATTATTGCACACCAGTTCATATACTGGGGGATGGTCCTCCCTACCCGTGCTTCAGTTTCTGTTTACTGTTTACTGTTGGATGGATATATAATTCTCTCCAACCGTAAACTCTGAATAATTAATACTAAAATGTAATATAGTGAAATAGTTGTGATTTAAAATTTGATTATCAAACTTTAAAATGTTGATTATGAACAGTGAGAAATAACTGGTACAGAAGGTATTGGATGAATTAATCATGATTAGTGTACATGTGAGATTGAACTATGCAAAGTTAAAAATGAAAATGAATAATTAGAAGGAGGGGAATAGGCACAGAGGAATTAAGAAGGAGGCGATGATTGGGAAGATGCCCAATTCTCCGGTAATTGGGGATTGGTCTGATGTGACGTGATGTTTAGTTGGAAGGGGTACAGATACGGACAAACAAGGAAATGAGGGAGTGTGGGGCCCACGCAGTAAGGGTTGAGTCGGCTCCACACGTGCGACACAGAAACCCATAATAAAGAAAGGCACAGCGTGGGTGAGACTGGAAAATCTGAAAATGGTTGGGGGACCACCTTTGACGTGTCGGGTGGTGTGCATGGGTGTGGTGTGGCTGTAACACGAGAATGTGGTCCCTCTCTCTCTGGCACAAAGGAATCAATCCCACGGCTCGGCGCGCCAATCCATTCTTTTCATGGCACAGTCCACATGAGATTAGATGCCCTTTTGATTTCTGACTCACTTTCACTCTCCTGCCCTCTTCCTCGAGTCAATTTCTCAGAGTTGTTAAAACTTCAAACCTTCCTTCCCTTTCAACAACACCTTCCCCTCCAATTATTAATGCACAACACATGTTTGAATTTTACATCACCGAGACAAATTATCTCAACTCTTCCATTTTTTTTAATGTCAAATCACCATTTTGAATCCACTTCTCTCTCTCTCTCTCTCTCTCTCTCTTTTCTTTCCTTCCATTCAACCAACCAATCACATCTTACCTTAAATCAAATACTCATACTTTTCCTTTTTATTCTCCACAAAAATTCATTTTAGATATTTTTTAATTTAAACAAAAATACAAGAACTATGCAACTAAATTTACTTATCTTCCAACCATTTTTCAACTTGTTCCATTATTATTTTTTATTTTCCAAATCTTGACCAAAAGAAAGACTTGCAGTTCAAGAAACACGTAATGATTTATGAATAAAGATCGAAAAATGTCAATTAGTACGTTGAATGTATTGGATAAAGAATTGAAAATTTGTTTATTAAAAAAAATTATCGATTCAACTTTTTTATGATTTTTAATAAAAACAATTATTTAATATTTTTATCTAATAAAGAGATAGCCAAATAATTGAGAACGCTACCGAGGGTACAAGAATAAAAGTAAGACAGCAATAAAATAAGGATGGGTGGAAGACTTCGCACACGTGCGTTAGGACGAGACCAATGGGAACCGTGTGGGAACCACGGGCACGTGCCCTCTTGTCTGTTGAATTATATGCTAGATCCTTGTCTCTATTTTATTTATTAAATTATCACATAGCACGTTTTAAGAAAACTATTAATAAATATATTATTTTTCATGATAAAATAATTTTATTTAGCCAACATATTCTTATTGGTGACTCTATACAGTTATAGTTATAAATTTAGTTGTGTTTTTACACTGAAAAATTAACATTTTATATTAAAATAACATATCTTTGAAAAAATTTAAATAAAATAATAGTGTTTGACTGTTTCAAATTTTTAAAAATTTAATTTTATCCTGTTGAAAATAAAAGCAGAATATTTTATTTGCATGCTTTTGTAAAGATAAATAAACTACAATCTTCTTTTCCAAATAATAAAAGATACTTGGCAATTGGCATTTATTTGTGTTAAATACTGTAATTTTAAAAGTGATATATCATAAAATATAAATTAAATCACATCAGTTACACTTTTTTCTGTGCTGTTTCCAAGACGACCAGGTCTACAATAGCGGAGGAGAGCACGTGGGGCTGGGGTCCACACAGATGGATAGATTGAGTCGTGAACTCCATAAATTGGAAAGATCACACCTTAACAAAAAAAAAAAAACATTGAAAATAATACTTATGATGTACTATGGGAGAGTGTTTTATATATGATACGAATTTAATTTCTTTTAAATTAAATCTTTTATTTTCTATTCATCATTTATTTTATTTTTTTAATTGTCATCTTGTAGTATTTTAAATTTGATTATAGATAATATTTTTTTATTTGGTACGAGAGTTAGAATTTTGTAATATTTTAGAATTATTATAGGTAGTAATGTTTAATTTTTTTCTTTTATATAATAACTAATAAATGATGTTAAATTGGAATTAAATGTTTTAATAGATTCTGTCTTATTTGAGTTTATTTGTAAAGATTAATTAGTAATTATTTGTGTCTTATTTACCAATGAAAATTGGTATTATAATAACGAAAATATATGTTGATTGGTCAGTTATGTCTTCATTGTTTTTTTATATTATAAACATATGATATGTTATATACTAATGGGAATATATCGATCGGTAATAAAAAAATTCCATCTGTAAATAATTACTATTGTTGTTTATTATAATATTACTAATCTAAATACTGCCTTTATCATATAACTTTAATAACGTATATACATATCAACTCTAATTCATAATGTCATTACTTTATTTAAACTCCCTATGTAATAATTTGTATAATTGACAATCATCAAAACAACATGAAAAATAAAATAAAAATAAGAAAGGCTATATCATAGATAATTTAGAAGGGTTTGAATATGCATGAATAACATACATTATATACACTTTTACTAGTCACAATTAAATGGGAGACAAAAATGTTTATTATATTGAAATTAAGTTTACGTGGTCTAGTAACCTTAGCTAAGGATAACCACATTAGGGTAAAGTTAAAGTTGTTGATATTGTTAGAATTATTAAATATAATAAACAGTTTGTAAAGTACTGAAAGATATGTTACAAAGCAAAGGAAAAAATTGGTGTTATCAAATTAGAAGGGTTAGACTCACTATTTAATATTTAATTGTTCAAATTATTAAGAGAACTCCAACACAAAATGTTCAGTCTTTTCAACCATCGAGAAGATATATAATTGTGGATAAATAGTTATGAATCCATTATAAATAAAAGAAATTACAGGTCTATTTTATTTAGTTTAATAATGAAAAATATGAGATCAAATTGATTATATTAAATATTTTATATAAACAATAATTAGTAACTACGATGACAAATACCTAACCTTATCTTTGATATTAAGCCTAAACAAGACACAAATGTTATGATAGGATGTTTCATGTGCATGTGCCATGCATTGGGTGTCATGGAAATACTTTGCTTACACAAGTTGCAAGTTCACGAAATATAACCTTTCGTGAGCAGTAAAAATGCATGACAATTGACAATTTTTAAACTGTAACTAAATGTGGTAAAAAATAATTATTAAAGACAAAATATACGTGTGATATTTTAGATCTTAAAATTACAATTTAAGATTTATTTTAGTGACTCGTGTGAATAAAAATCGATATTTAAGGTCAGTGCTGATTACTGAAATTACGATTTTAATTAATAAGAAAGCTGATAATCCCTTAAGAAACTCTATTTAACTTTGAACATCTTCCAATAAGAAAAAACCCTAATTTATTCTTTGGAAATGTTACTACAAACTCTCCTAAATTGATGAGAAGTTATTGCTACTACAATAGGATTGTCCCTTGGGCCTTAACTAATAAAGTGGGCCGAAAGAGAAAAAAATATATAAAGGGAAATTAAACTCTGATGATTAGATTGAAGGGAGTTATTAAATATTTAAATATAATATTACTACATGATCATTATTATCCAATTATTAACCTGTTATAAAATTTATAATAAAAATCATTTTAACAAATTATTACAAATAAAATACATTATTTTAATATGATATTTGATGCTATATCTTATATTATGATACCACAGGCTAGTCCCTTTCCCTAAACCCATAGACGAATTATAATAGGTTTTTTTAAATATTATTTATGTAAAAAAAATAAAATTAAAGCAGTCAATTTTTTTTTTCAACGACTTATAAATCAACTTAAATCAAGCTTTTTTGAAGAAATTGGTCCTTGCATCAGTGACAATTTCACGTTCATAGAAAGAAGAGTGTTTAGTACAATTGTTCAGATGAGACTTTTTAAATATTTTTAAAGTTTATATACGTTTTTTTTTTTAACAAAGAATACTATATTGTATAGGTGAATATCCAAGATAAGAGAATAATCAATTTCTCTTGTCTCTTAAATAAAGTTTATTTGAAATCCAGTTGTCATCGTCATACATGCAACAATATGTGATGATGTTTTATCAAGATCTTAAATTTTAAGACAGTAAAAGAGGTTTGAGACAAATTCACAAAAGAATTTTAAGGTAGTGAAATAATAAAGAGAATGAATACATTAAATTAAATATGAGAAGAGAATTTGAAGTAATCAAAATGAAAGTTTTTTTATAGACTTTCTAAGGTGATTGTATAAATTAAATTGTTACATAGAGAGTTTAAAGATGAAAGAGTTACGAAGAAAAATCACTTGACTTTGAGTGAAAATTTTCTTCTCTTAAAATTAGGAATTTTCCCATATTTTACTAATATAAAAATATATTATTTTATTAATATAAATTAAATTCTGAAAATATGTTTTTATTTTATTTAAATTTTATTTTTTGAAATAAACTATTTTTATAAGAATTTTTTAATTAGTCCAAAAATAATCCACTTGTCATAATATATGATTAAGGAAGATGAAATATTATGTTGATTTAAATATAAGTTAAATTAGTTTATAGTTTTCTATTTAATCGGTAAGAGTAGACTCGTATCAAATAATCATTTTACGCCTACTCCGGGTTATGTTATAAAATTTAACAATTATATTATACATGATAATTTTTTAAATTTGTTTATACTATTAATGATGCATATGCCTATTTATTAAAATATATTTGCATGGGCGAAAATATTTTTTACAGAAAATACGTGTTCTGAACAAAAGAAATATAATAGTAAGGCCATATATTATTTATTTGTTAAATTATAATTTAAGAGAGAAAATCAAAATTAATTAAGCAAATGGAAAAGTGAAAAAGAAAATTGCAAGTCATTTTCATCTCCTCTTTTTAAGAATAAAAAATACCTATAAATGATTAACATGTAGCGAGAATTTGTTGGCCCAATTCTTTCGATACAGTTATTGTCTTCGATAGCATCAATTTTAGTTGTTTACGTTACTATCGCATGGTGTCCAATCGCTGCTGTAAGGTCGCGCGTGTTGGAGAGTCCCCGCAGGCCACGATAAAACAATAAATAAGGAAGAAAAAGAGAGAAAATATTAAGTATATTTTAAAATGCTGGTAAATTTGTTTAAATAAATTGTAGAAAATGTGATTATCTTTTGTAATTTAGCGTTATGTATTATTTTTTAGTTAATATCCTTAAAAAAGTCTTCAATATGGCTGGAATAATAATAAAATTAAATAGAATTTCAAATTATAAATAAAATAGGTGAAGACGCTAAC